TCTAGTCACTTTGAGCAATCTTTCGACAAAAGTGTTCAATCGCGTTAAAATTAACTTTGTACGCTCTCCAATCCCATTGCAGCCTACTCGTCACTGATATAGTCGGTAGCTGTGGGCAATTATGTACAATATGATTGCGGTCCCCATCGCTGCTGGCGTGGTATATCCTGCTGGACACGTGCGTCTAGCTCCCGTATGGGCATCATTGGCCATGGCATTATCGTGAACAGCCTGACCATGGGGTGCAAACCACGTATTGATCGGTTGCACTAGCTCTATATCTGTAGTTTGCTCATCGCTTGCACTTAGATTGTACAGGGAGCCGAAGATACAGCTTTGAAAAGTTCAAATTCTTTCGGCAACGTTGTAGTCAATCTGTTCATCCGATCTGTATCATTCATGCATTCATGTCATTACTGTACTCCTAGCATATTTTATGAATACACTCTCTTACGCCCATGATCACAATCTCTGCGTTGCAAGAACCTCCCTATCCTTCTTCAAACGATAAAATTCCGAAAATGAGAGTCGTATGCCAAGGAACCGGCAATCCAAATCTGGATGCGACTGCAAAGCCTGCACGATAGTTTGCATGCGCTCGCTGAATGCAGTGCTATATTCCCTGAGGAGTTTACGTATCTGAGAAAGCGACTGGGTGTGAGCGAGCGAGGTGGGTGCAGTGTACACCCCGCGGGCGGCATCCCGCGCTTGGTCTAACCGAGCTGACTCAGCTAGGGCGTAATTATAGAAATTATCCTGTGGTAATTTTTGTTAGGAAGGAAACACGTGAATGAGGATAAAGAAATGCTTACAATTGCCTCGCGGAACTGAAGGATCGTCGAAAATACTTCCCGAATTTGAGTCAACAAGCTCTCCTGGCATGACGGTAAGCGCGCGCGCGACAAACTTACTTGCGAGCCAAACTTACCTCTCTCCCTGCCTTGGAGCTGATCAACAATACCTTCTTGACCATACAATCAAGATACGATTGATGAGCGTCGATCATAGCGTCAAGATCACCCTCCCGTCTCGCAAAGAATTCCATAAGAGCCTTCCACGAGCACTCGATGACCTCGAGCTGTGTGTACGCTTGCATCTGACGAATAAAATGGATCATTTCTGAAGTCGTGATCCGGATCTGGTGCCAGTCATACTCCAGTTCTATATTGTGCGTCAGCGCCGCAGCTACAGTCTATGACAGGAATAAAACATCGCAGCATGGTCAACTCACCTTCCAACCGCCCTCTGACTCGTCCAGCACCCGCAACCCTCATCCAGCCACTGCTCAACGCGCCTTCAACGCGCTTCATTGCCCACAGATGTGCGAAGACCCGCTTGTACTTCTCCAGAGACCCGGGGTCTAGGAGGGTATCGAGCGGCGCGTCGACCTTGTATTCGAGCGCGAAGACGTCCCACCCGAGCTCGCCGTGCGTGTACTCCAGCATGCGAGCGTCGAGGCGGCGAAGAACATCCGGTGGGTCGTTTTGTGCGCTTGAAGTACGGATGGCTGTCTCGAGTGTTGCTGTGAGGTTGTGTCGGTATAGGGTGTTGGCAGGTCGGGCGAGAGAGGGCCTGTGCGCCCGTTAGCATGAGTGAAATGATAGCATGAATTACGTACCCAAGCGATTCCATGAGTTGCTCAGCAAAGTCACCGTAGCCAAGGAGGAGGTAGTGCTTGAGCGCGGAGAGGTGATCAAGGAGGCGGAATTTCTCAGTGAAGACTTCAAACAAGCGAGCAGAGGCGGTGTTGTATGCACTGTCGATGCTGCGTTCCAGTCCTGCGATATCGCTGTACTTGAGAACTATGGGAAAATATAAGTATCAACATAAAAGTGAGTGGAAGTGCAGAACTCACTTCCGCCCGTATTGCTCATCTTCTCTCTCGTTGCTACCCAATCCGAGTCGTGACAACTGTATCTGATAAAATTCAAGCTCTTGCCCGTCGAAAAGATCTTTCTTCCAAAGTTTTCGCCCACAAACATCGGGAGCATCTCTTTTCTAAAGCGATACTTCGCCTCCCATACGCGGAGACCGCCTCCACCATCGCCTCTGTCTGCGCTAACAGAATCCTCGCCGAATGCGTCGATGCCCCCTGCAAGACTCGAGGGATGCAGTCCTTGAAGATGCGCAAGTGATGGGTCGACTGAAACGAAGAATTCAGAGTGGGGATCGTAGAGCTCGCCGGAGAAGAGCCATTTGTGCAGTGTATTGAAGAAGGGAGTGGATACCTGAAATTGAATTAGCATGAAGCAGTCTGCTAACTGACACAAATAAAGATGTTGCACCTCTTCCAAAAGTTGGTCAGTAAATTTTCTGACGAATGGGTCTCCGTTGTCGGTGTATGAATGAATGAGGTTAACGAGTGCCCCACCCTGTGCGTCATGTGCACCCTCAACACAGACGCTCATCATGCGCATGCGGAGACGCCATTCTGTTATCCAGACGTCAAGGCGTTTAAGGGTGAGGCCGGTCTCCTCTCCTACAGCATCCGATTGTGCGCCTGGAGCTGAGTTGGATGTGTTGCCCATCTGAGACTCTAGAACGGCGATGAGTCGGTAGTATTCGGTAAGCAGCGTCTGGAGGTGATGGCAAAGGCTTTGCTCGATCATACCGACGGATGGCCGATCTTGTGTGTTGACGAACGCAGCTATGCGCGCGTAGAGATGACCTACCTCGGAAAGGCGATGAACGAGGGATTTAGTTGAGGGAGGGATGATATATTTCTGTGAATAAGATGAGCACGATATGACATTCATTTAAAATTGCTTACAGAATCTTCGACAAAAACGAGTTTGGGCTGGGCGCCATTGTCTGAGAGCGACAAGTGTACATATTTTCCTGAAATTCCCTGTAAGAGATATAACGTGTCGCGAAGAAGTAAGTGTTCGGGGAGATGGCGTCGTCCTTCATTAGCACTTGAGCGTTCCGTCCCACAGAGGGTGTCAAAGGAATGCATACCAGTACGGGCGCGATATTCACGTAATATCTCTGCTTTCGAATTGCCTTTTGGCTGTGGTGAGCGCGGAAGATGAGTAGGACTAGTGGTACGAATTGTGGATGGACGAAGCGGGGCCTGGAGAGACGCGAGGAATGGACTTGAGGTTGGCTGGCGTGAGGAGGATGCGAGAGAATAGAGAAAGAGGAGGGATTCGTGTTTGCGAGAGAGAATAGGCTACGCAGAGATAAGACGCGTGACCAACACGATCGGTACACTCACTTGGTCTAGTAATCGCGAGAGGAGATTAGTGAACTTGAGCGATGCATTGCTCGGAGATTCAGATTGTAACACTGCAAAAGAATACGGTCACAATTAGGAATACGCGATCTTTGGGTGATGCATACAATGCCTTTTTATCTGTGCCGCTAAATGACCAGTGTCATTCTCGTGTGCGGTGCCAATATTACTAGAGAGCAGGTAAGTGACATTTGCCACAAGCTGGACTAGGGCATTGTTACCTTGCGAGGATATCCTTGCAATGTGCTATTAGTTCTTCTTTGAGACGTGTATTAGACTGAGTCTGGGGGACAAAGGACGTGACAAGGCTCTCGATTGACGCGCTCACATCGCGCATCGCGGTATACAGTTTTAGATCACGCGGGTATGTTAGAAGTACATGGCCAATTGCTTACAAAGCGAGCAACCTGGATTCAACGTTCAACTTGAACTTTGTCATGTCCCTTCAGAAGTCGGGTTTCTCGCATCATCGCGTTCGAGCAGTGTGATTAACGGTTAAGGGATGTATGATCACGGGCAGTGGGCGCTCCTGACAATCACACATTTCCAATCCGATTATATACGCACAAGGCTTAGCTTAACCTCAACCAGGGACATACGCAGAGAGTAAGTATACGATACCGACGTTTGCACACTGGTAAATAATTTTTCGAGGATGCTGCATGCAGACTCGGATTTGCCCTCTGTGTTTTCCTTATTGTGTTGCAGTATACTCCTGCAATTCCCGTACTCTCACTCTGGTCGTCAATCGTGTCCTTCTAAAAAGTGCGCGACAAGATTCCTCTACACCGGTGAGGTCCTATTCATGCGGGTCGAGAAATCTGAGTTCCAATTTTTCTTCATCGCATTGGCGCGTGCTGGCCTAGAATCACAAAGCATACCGTGTGGATTTATTTTGGTGTAGACCAATCGGTCCATTGAATACGCTGATCACGGAGGCCGAACAATTGGAGATCTGGATCGTTGACACGCGTGCCAGTCCTATCTTTGATAAATCGGCAGTGATACGCAAAGTATGACCTTAATTGCCATGATGCAGACGCCGATCAAGCAGCGGCCAGTTGAACGGCCTGCATTGGATTGACGTATCGGGGGCTATGCAGAGATCGAGGGTGTAAATGGAGCAGAGAGGCCAGCACGAGACTTCTAGTGAGTTCCATTATATCACTCGGGTGCTGGTCTGTGTTGGTAATGGTCAATAAAGCGAAGGTTATGAAGGTTCTAGGGGTCGGACTGCGAGCGAATGCACTGATCATCTCCGAAGATAAAATGATGGTTTGGTTAGTGCCTTACATAACAAACTATCTCGTGTCTGAGTGTACGTATGTAGGAAACTTGTCAATATTAGCCTTCAAGCTATGATGGCCAGGCGTCAGACCAGGGATACAACCTTCAAAGAGCTTCAAGTCGACGCTGATTGCCTGGGCTTCATATTTGGTCTTAAGGTGCCAACGTTAACAAACTAGGCGAAACTGCGGACTTAGTTGGAAGAAATTTTGACTCGTTCGAAGCGCTACGAGATGACACGCGCTGACTGGCGCCGATCATGGAGCGTAATATGGGGCGACTCGAACGATCGTTTGTAAGTAGACATCCCAAAGTCCTCGGGTGAAATCTTACCTGTCGGTAACGTGACCAGCGGCCTGCAGGAATAAAGCGTAATAGCAATACCTGCCTGGTCAGGATGTTATCTGCTATTTTTAAGGAGTCTGTCCCCTGAATTGTCTTCGGTCGTCTTCCCTGCTTACCAGTGCAACACTTGTACATGTCGGACTCTCCTCTAGGAACCGTCTCCTCTGCTCATGCACCACACCAAGATGGCACGAATTATCTTCATCCTCAACTCACATGTAGCGAAGGCGGGGCTGCCGAAGCCTTGGATAAGCCAAATGATGAGGTGTATGATTGGGAACACGACACAGCGAACCCCAGGAATTGGCCTCTCGCAAAGAAATGGATAACCACTACAGTCGTCAGTTCTTCCATTAGCGAATTCAGTTCACTAGGGCTCATGTCGGTGTCGTGTCAGGTCTCGCTGTACACACTTGTCACACCGTTAGCAAGCGCTATCATGGCACCTGGTTTGCCTGACTTGGCCATAAAATTTGGCATAACCAATCCAACAATCTTAGCGTTGACTCTGAGTATCTTCGTTCTATCGTATGCCATTGGTCTATTATTCGCGGCACCCTTATCGGAAGTATATGGTCGTGTGTGGGTGCGTGGTGCTCTTCCTACATCTGATCGAAGAGACCATTTGCCTGAATGAGTTCAAGGTGCTCCACCTAGGAAACTTCTTCTTTCTCGCGTTTAATCTCGGCTGCGCTTTGTCGGCCAATACCATGTCCTTGATCGTGTTCCGGTTTCTAGGTACTTATGGAATTGTTGGAGCTGCAACTTTTGCTCACTCTCTACGAAGCTGGATTGGCGGGGAGTGCGCCTATAGCATGCGGCTCAGGTGTCATCAGCGATCTCTTTTTGGAACACGAGCGCGCCTCAGCTATGGCACTATACAGCATTGGACCTATGCTTGGCGAGTCTTTCCCTGTTTTACGGTGCATGACATTGACTGAAGTTCACTCATAGGCCCCGCTATTGGTCCTGTTATAGGGGGTTTCATCGCAGAGTCGGTCGGTGTACAGTATGTTTTCTATGTCATCGCTGCGATCTCTGGTATTGCCGCAATACTTGGCATCCCTCTCATGAGAGAAACATATGTACCAGTCATCAGGTTTCGTCTTAACGCCATGACACTAGATCCCGAAAAGACATCTGTTGGGCATCCTGTCCTGGCCGCACATCATATGGACAAGTGGGTTTACTTATGGGTTAATCTCAAGCGACCGGTCATTTTACTGACCAGGAGTTTCATATGCTTCATCTTGAGCTTGTATATGGCTTTGTAAGTCTAATTTGATGTCGCGCAGCTCACTGACTCTGTCATCTATTTAGGATGTACGGTCAGTACTACATTAAGTTATATCGGATACGGACTGAGATCGTACGTTAGGTATCTACTTCTTGTTATTTACTACTTTCCCCGGTAAGATCATACCTGGTCAGCATTCAGGCACCATTATTAACAATTTTTACCTTAGACCTCTTTGCAAACGTGTACCACTTCAGCATTGGAATCGGAGGTCTGACATATATCGGAGTTGGTTTTGGATTCGTAGTTGCTACCGTGTTTGGCGCCAAACTTTCCGACAAGATCTACATATACGTATGTCTTCCTTCTACCTTGAACGTGTCAGCTCAATTGCTAGCTTCTATATTTAGCTTACTGCAAAAAATGGAGGGAGGGGTCGACCAGAGATGCGTGTGCCTGCTCTGATATTCGGGTCGTTTTTTGTCCCAGTGGGACTGCTGTGAGATTGACCCCTTTGTTCCTGCTCCCAGTCTGACATGTATTAGTTGGTATGGCTGGTCTGCCCAAGCCAAGGCACACTTTATGATGCCCATCATTGGCACCTCTATCTTTGGATTCGGAATATTGACATGTTTGTGGGTGTGCCTCCGTGGTTTGGCACTGTTCACGTTTGACCCTCTCTAAAGCCTCCCTATTCAACTATATCTCGTGGATACATTTACATACGCTGCAAGCGCTACTGCAGCCGCTTCTGTCAGTTTTCCATACTTGACGTCGCTTGCGTTCACTGAATACGTCAGCATCAGGCCTTCCGTTCACTCCTTGGGTTCGCATTCCCTTTATTTGGACAACAGATGTTTGCGACGCTCGATTATGGCGGAGGCAATACGCTTCTTGCAGGCTTTGCCATCATCATTGGTATACCCTTCCCCGTGTGGATATATTTCGCCGGCGAAGGTATCCGCACGAAGAGTTCCTTGGCTCGTTGATCTGTTTCAAGTTGTCCTTCCAACCAAAGTCTCTTCATGATCATGGGAGTATGATGATTACGCCAATAGCCTGTAGAGATAAGGAAAGGTTACAGAGCTACGAAAGATAAATATTCAGGAGGCATGAATTAGCTGGCCTCATCATGAGCCGTGGCGTAGTCGTGTCTAGTAGTACAAAGAATTTAAGAAACAACTTTAAGCGCTCATTACATCAGCTATCCTTTTAGGTCGTTCAAGTTGTTCCCGGTGTACGTACTAATAGTACTAGTGAGCTGGAGCGGCGTGTTGTACTGACGACTTTGACACGACATGGAAAAACCAGATACGCTAATACCATCGACCACTGATGCTCCGTCGTCGCCGTCCAAGCAACGAGATGCTTTCGCGTACCAGACGCGTCTGCTCCAGCGCACTGCTTCTCGTTCATCAACAAACTCTCGAAATTCTTCCATCTCATCGCGTCCAACATCCCTCGTGAGCCCAACTACAACTGGTTCTAGTCCGCCTGTGGTTTCTGCTACCAGACGATGGGCACCTTCACATCGACCGGGTGCCAGCGTTGACACTGTACGCGACAAGTGGGAGGAGCGCGCACGTGCAGAGGCAGTACTTGACGAACGCAGGTCTGCCAGTCCAACAAAGCAAATCGAAACTACGCCCGGTCGTTCTAGCCTGGGTCGTAGTGATAGTATCTCCTCGTTCACAGATTCCAGTTTGCAGCGCACCTCAACTTATCTCAAACGACATACTTTCTCTGCTTCCCTTCCACCACACATAGTAGCAACTCCCTTGTCCCCGAATACTACTGGAATATCTGTCGTGAATCCTGACTCGTCTGCTAATACACTTTCGACCCCGACCGCTCATCGTATATGCCTACCAACTACAGCATCTCTTCATTCTTCATCATTATCTGATATCAAGGAACTTGCTGATCATGATATACCTGCATACATATCCCTTGATTCCCCCTCCCCACCCACGCGGAGACCAAGTACAATAGACAGCAACACCCCGGATTCTGCTCCCCATGATCTAGTATCACGGATACCCGACCCATTCGCATCGACGGTGATCAACACTCCGTCCAGTCTCTCAAAGCCTTTGTTCACACCTGCAACACCTACAACTATCCCCCGCCGTCCCATGTCGCTCTATGGTTCACAGTCTTCATCTTTTCCCTTCCCAGAAAAGGAAACATTGCACGGTCGCATCTCTGCAAGCCAGGATCTTACCGACCATACCTTGCGACTTCCAAGTCGTGTTTCGCGAGTGTCCGACAATAACCCTTCAGACCTCGCATCTAAGTTGAACGACCTTCCCTCCAGGATATCTGCATATACATCCCGATTGGATTCTCGTTTTTCTGATTTTACGTCTCGTTCCGCTGAGAATATCTCACCAGCTGTCCTGCCAATCGTGGACCGCACTTCCCGTGCCCCTGACATTACAACTCGGGTTGCGGAATACACTTCGCGTTTTAACCTCTCTGAGCGCCCGTCCCCATCTCCTACGCATACCCCCACGTCCTCATTCGCATCCACTCAGAATTCCTTCGCATCCACATCTTCTTCAACCCCTCCACATACACCCAGTTCTTCCACCACATCCATTCCGTCAACCTCCTCTTCTGTAATGTCACCGGCTCCTTACCGCTCCTCATACATGTCAAAGAAGTCATCAACATATGGGCAAATTGCTGGACACAAACTAGGACGCCATCTGCCCCGCATCGCGAGCGGGGATGCCGATGAAGACTGGGTTGATGAGCAGAAGCCCAATCCTCCATTACAACCTGAGCATACTCCTGTTCCTGTGGATGATTCACAGGTGGTGTTGCGACGAGCACGTCGTAATTCCAGGTATGAACCTCCAGCGTCACCTATTACAGAAGAACTTGTAGCAGGGATGTCAAATACCTCCGATGTTACTGGAATTCCGGGGCGATTGCGTCTTTCGCGGGATCAAACGCCAGCGAGTCCGACTGCACCGACAACCTTCCCTTCCTCTCGCTTGACGAGAGGCCTATGGGCCGATGTACAAAGACATTTACTGCAAGCATATGAATATCTGTGCCATGTAGGAGAGGCGCAGCAGTGGATCGAGGGTTGCCTTGGGGAAGAGCTAGGCTTTGGGGTGGTGGAGATGGAGGAAGGAATGAGGAATGGTGTTGTGCTAGCACGGCTTGTCAGGGTTTTCAAGGGAGAAGGAGGGTTCAGAATTTACGAGGTGCGCTGGCATTCCAAGATCGTGTGATCGAGGTTGAACTCCGATTGTTTACAGGCCCGAAAGTTAAATTTCCGCCACTCGGATAATATTAACCATTTCTTTGTTTTTGTTAGAGAAGTAGGATTGCCCGAGGTATGTCGCCACGCCTCCAGCATCAGATATGACGAGTAACAGTTTGCATAAGGGATTCATATTCGAATTGACCGATCTATACGAGAAGAAAAACTTTCCCAAGGTCATTTACTGCATACACGCACTTAGGTGAGCACTTCCCGATCGGCAAACGCTTGAATTTGCTAATACCTCGTAGTCACCTCCTCGCCCGCCGTGGTCTCGCCGAATGTATCGGAGATCTTCTCGGCCAACTTCAATTCTCCGATGACCAGCTGCAGAAGACGCAGAAGGGTCTCACTGACGCAGGTATTCCGATGCCCAACTTCGGCAATGTCGGCAGGGAACTAGCAAAGGAAATAAACGAGGAGCCTGATCCACCACCCCCTGAGCCAGAGGAAAGCGAGGAGGAACGTGCGTCTACTTTGTTTGCTTTCCCGATATCTATCAATAGGCTGAATTTTATTCATAGGGCGCGATCGTCTGCTCTTGGAGAACGAGGACTCGATACGTTCGGTTCAATGCCTAGCCCGTGGCTTTCTGGTCCGCAAGGCACAGGCGACACAACGCGTCCGTTTGCGTCTAACCGAACGATATGTTCCTCGTCTGCAAGCACATCTCCGTGGTGCTCTCGCCCGACGCACCGTTTCCGTCTCCCGTCAGCAGACGCGCGACATGACGCCCTGGGCTATTCATTTGCAGGCTGTTGTCCGCGGCGTACTTGTCCGTCGGCGCTGGAGAGCATACATTGCTCGCATCAAAGCAGTCTCTCAATACTTAGTCAAGACACAGGCCCAGATTCGTGGCGTCCTCGTACGTCGGCGATTCGAGAAGCTGAAAGCAGCCCTAAGGAGCGCCCGTGCAATCGTGGTGAAGATGCAATCAACTGCACGTGCCAAAATCGTGCAGCGGAACCACAGCGAAGTGGCGAAAACGTTTGCGCGTGCGGAGGTAGTATTGTCTGTGGTGAATGTCCAAGCTGCTGCGCGCGGCTTCCTCCTCCGACGGATGCTTTCGAGAAAGCTCAGAAAACTGGATGCAGAGGAGGAGACTATCGTGGATTTGCAGGCACAGTGCCGCGGTGTTCTTGTGCGAAGGCGCATACGGACGCAACTTGCCAAGCTAGATGATGTGTCTGCAACTGTTGTGCGCATACAGGCAGCTGTGCGGACTTATCTTGCACGCAAACGCCTTCTTCAGCTCATCCGAGGTTTGCGGCGCGCGACTCCCATGCTTATCGGTCTGCAAGCGCGTGCACGTGCGAGCCTGGCTAGACAACAGCACCGTAATGTCGCAAAGGCCCTCTGCGAGGTGAAGGTCGTAGCGAGTGTTGGAGGGTTCCAGGCTCTTGCACGAGCTGCGATCATGCGGAACCGCCACCGTGAACAGCAGAAAGAACTAGAGTTTGTTGCTCCAGATGTGAACGGGTTTCAGGCAGTGGCGCGGGGGTACCTCGTCAGGAGGGACTATCATGCGTGGCGAGACTATTTGCGACGGAGTCAACCTGCAGCGACGATGTTGCAGGCCTTGTTCCGTGGCGTGCTCCAGCGGAAGAAATTCCGTGCGAAGATTCAGTATTATCGCACGAATCTTGATAAGGTTGTCAAGATTCAGTCGCTCTTTAGGGCAAAGGAGACTAGGGAGCAGTACAGGCAACTCACGCTGGGCAAGAACGTCACTGTCGGAACGATCAAGAACTTTGTGCATCTGTTGGACGATTCGGAGTCGGACTTCCAAGATGAGATCAAGGTGGAGCGACTGAGAAAGCGCGTGGTAGAGGGCATTCGTGAAAACCAGGCTTTAGAGAACGATGTCAGTGATCTCGACGTGAAGATTGCGCTTGTCGTACAGAATGTGAAGTCCTTCGAGGAGCTTATCAAAGCGCGGAAAAAGTACGGTGCAGACAGTGCTGCTGCTCACGCTACTAGGGCGTCCATCCTTGCTGCGCATGGCGACCCCTTTGCTGGACCGAATACTCTTGATCATGCAGCGAAGAAGAAGCTTGAACTGTACCAGCAGCTATTCTATCTCTTGCAGACGAGAGCAGAGTATCTAGGTGGACTCTTCGTTCAGCTTTCTGATGAGACAGCGGAGAAGCACAGGCGGTTGGCAGAGCGGGTCGTGCTCACGTTGTTTGGGTATGGTCAGGACCGAAGGGAGGATTATCTCTTCTTGAAGTTATTCCAGGCGCGCCTCCTGCATTTTGTGACGTCTGGTTATTATTGATACTGCTTTTAGCTTTCGATCCGCGAGGAAATCCTGGCTGCGCCGTCGATTTCGGATGTCGTACGTGGACATCCGATGTATATTAACATAGCGGTGCAGTACGTCCGCCCACGACAGGTCACGTATATCCGTGAAACGCTGCAGGGGATCATCCGTGAGCTCCTGGAGGCTGTCGATCTTGACCTAGAACCTGACCCTACTGTGGTAAGTATTCTTGTACTTCTTGTATGACGACGTTTCACCTTGTCTAGATCCACCGATCGCGCATAAATGTGGAGGAAATGCGATCTGGAATCGCAAGCACAAAGCCCAAAGATGTTCCATTCTACGAGGCTTTGAAAGATCCTGATACTAGGGCCGAGTACATCAGACGCACGTGTTTATTTCTTCTTGAAGTGTTGGAGCTTATTTTGATGTATTTACAGATCTCCAGAAACTTCAGTGGTGGACTGAAGCCTTTGCCGTATCCATATTTGAGTCGACTCGCAGGATGCCCTATAGCGTGCGATTCATGGCGCGCGAAACGTTTCTTCAGTTGAAAGAGAAGTTCCCTGGAGCGCCTGATGAAGTGTATGCAGCCTGCATTGGCAGGCTGGTATATTACCGGTACTTGAACCCCGCCATCTTGTGCGTTTTATCTTCGGTCTCTCGTAACAGGCGCTCATCACCCGAATTTGCAGATCGCCTGAAAACTTTGATATGGTCGCATCGGTAGATATTGCAACCAGGAAGAATCTCGCGCAGATCTCCAAGGTCTTGACGCAGGTTGCGTCAGGCTCTGAGTTCAACGATGATCAGCCTAATTATGTACCCATTAACGAGTGTGTGCGCACGTTGATCACGCAGATGACCAATTGGCTAGTGCGAAGTGAGTTGTTTTATTATTATTGTATTGAGCATGTCTGGTATTCATCTCTATTGATAAACAGCAGTCGCGGATGTCCCCGATGCTGAAAGTCACTACCATGCCCATGAGTTCTTGGATGCTACAGTACAACCAAAGCCCATTTACATCTCTCCGAACGAGGTGTACGGTATGCATGTCTTGCTCTCGCAATATCAAGAGAAATTGGTGGGTGCATTCAATCAGGAGAAATTCTTTGAGACTGAAAAATATACTGCAAGTCTCCTGATCGACACGATGCCTTGCGTGTTATTCTGCACGAGCTAGATGGTGTACCTCATCTTGATAACGATGAGCTCAAGGATGCCAGAGATCGTGCGATTACTCTGGAACTAACGAACAGGTTTGCTCATGTCCGAGGTAAGCTTGGGCTACTCGATATCGATGACGCTTGTTGACGGGAATGCAGATCCACAAGCTGATGAAAAAACGCTCTGGGTACAAGCAAAGCGCGGTGTGCTTGCGATCTTACGTGTCCAACCTGCGCAAGATCTTGTCGAATCTTTGATGCGTCCTGTGAGCGATGACGATGAGCTTCGCTGGGAGAACATCTTGGCCGAAATGGATAACGAACCAACGTCACGACGTATGCCTTCAACTTCCGCAGGCGAGTCCGCCTATAGGCTAGAAGACATTCGATCGTGAGTTGTATCGAGAAGTATGGAAGACAATGCTTAACTAAAAGAATATAAAAGGTTGTCTTTCAAAGAAGTCAAAGCTCATGCCATTTTCTTCCTTCTTGAACTGGAGAAACAGGGGAAGATTACGCGCAACGACGGATTCCAGGGTATTCTGAATGCCATTGCCAGCGATGTCCGCAGCAAGCACCGCAAACGGTTACAGCGTCAACAAGAGATGGATAGCATGGTAGACGCCCTGAAGCACCTTTCTGAACGGAAGAAGTATTTCGAAGAGCAGATCGACAGTTATCACAATTACGTTGAAGCTGCGATGGCGACCATGCAGCGAGGCAAAGGGTAAAGATCAATTATGTTTGTGCCCTACATTGCGCTAAACTCTTGAATAGGAAGAAGCGTTTTGTTCTGCCGTTCACAAAGCAGTACTTTCATCTGCGGGACTTGCAGAAGTCGGGGAAGAATCCTCAGTTTGGATCTTTCAAATACAGTGCGAGGGATTTGTATGAGAAGGGTATATTACTCTCCATCGATAAATTCTCCCCCCGTCAGTTTGATAAAATCGACATCACCATTTCTTCCAACAAACCTGGCATCTTCACTATGGAAGTGTTCAATAACACGCTGGGAATCACCAATCGGATAGCTTCTACTGATTTGCGTATGGAAGACTTGTTGCAAGCTCAGTTCGAGAACCAAGCTTCCCTTTCCTTATTCAATGGACTGGCAAAGGTCAACATTAGTTTGTTGCTCTACCAGATCAATAAGAAGTGAGTGCCCTTTCACCTTGCATGTCTCTTCGTTCTGACCCTCTTAACTTTCAGATTCTATGTGTAGTCGGTGCCTGCTCTGCAGGACTCGTCTTGTATCTACTAATTTTGTTTTACCTCCGCATCTTGCATCATATATCTTCGCATCTTTTACCTGTAATCCATCATGCAATTATGTATTTCTTTGCATACGAACTACGATTAACGTATGGCCGTATCCCAGGACCCTATGACGCTCCAAAGTGTACTTTAATAAATTGCGCGATACAACACCCAGTGCGCGATACCCAGTGCGCGATACACAACATCCAGTGCGCGATACACAACATCCAGTGCGCGATACGTCGAGTGCGCGATACAAAAGCAGCTTAGTTGGGCCTTGAAGCTTGAAGCTTCGAAGTCGTTGCAATAGTATTTCATGTCAATATCATGAATTTTTCAACAAGCAAGTCTGCTATAAGCGCTAGTAACTAGTAGTAGTCGGAAAGCAAAAAAAAACTGAAGGTTGCCAGCATCGGCAAAGCCTCGAATCTTTTTGAGGCCTGGCTGTTGGTTAATGTGAGTATTATTGGTAAGGGAATGCATATAGTATGGATGAGCTGGTTAGGGTAGTAGCAAGGTATAGGCAATAAGGACTCCATAGTGATCATTATGGTACTAGAAAAGATACTGAGTAGACGGCGAGAGGACACGAGAGATTAGAGGGCAATATTGACATCACCAATAAAATAATCTTCTGACCAGGGATTAATACGAGGAGGGGCAGATGGACTATCGGGGTCGCGGATACCACGCAATATGATATCAGATGCTTGGGGCTCTACGAAGTCGGGTGGCATGGCAACACGACGGCGTTGAACAATGGGTGAATGAAATTGTGTCGAAAGTAAATCAGCAGTGCCGAAACGTGACCCGGTGAAAAAAGAGCCAGTGGAGGGGACAGTGTTTTTGCTTGGGGTCTGTGGTACCAGAGACAGTTGTCGAATAACATCAGGGAGATCATCCATATCTGCATTAGAACTTTCTAAAAAAACTGAATTTAAAGTGAGTTGAGAAACTTTACATCAAAATAGGGACACACGTTTCGTAGGCTGTGAGGCCGCATTAATAATACTCGATGCCCGGAGATCCGACGCTGGCTCCTCAAGCTCCTGCTTCACCGCAGTGCCTACTAGAATAACGAATAAGTGAGAGTATATTTCGCTAGTCACACAACACACACCTTTCATTTTTTTGATGACTGGTTTGTATTCCGTGTCGGAGAGAATCTCGATGGACAATGATGTTCGTCGCCCACGTTTGAGCTTCGCAGCAGCTAGTAGAGAGTTGGATAAATATGAACCAAATAAGAAGTAAGTGGTCGAAATTAATAAACTTACCTGCACGTGTTAAGATTGTTGGTTTCGCCGCCTCAAAACTTGAAGCATCATCAGAGTCGAGAAACATTCCATCATCCCCCGTCTCTCGATATTCGGGATCCCATGATGCATAGACGTGTTCTGGAATTCTTCTCCGCAATGCTGAAGATACTCAGGTTAGCATCAAGAAATTATATAAGACAGAGGCTTCTTACCTATAATGATGTTTGCATCTTTTACAGGGCACTTGGGTCTGCCTCGGAATCGTGCAAGATCATTGCCGTCAGGCCTTTCAATATTTACGACCTCATAGCGGAGCCTCTCCTTGCTTATCAAAACCCATGGGCAAGAAGGTATGCCAATTCCTTTCCCCTTTTCTGTCGAATTGACATATCCAAGTGCCAAAGGGAACACTTCATTCTGCAGGTATTGATTGACTTCGTCGTGAGTCCACATTCGGCTAAAGGAAAACCTGCTAGCAGTCTCGATATGTGCACATTGACGACGTTCCATGTTGTGCAACTGTGTCCGTGACGGTGGGCTTGTATTGATGAGGTTACCATCATCCTTCAACATATTGTGTTAGTTTTTCTTGTGCAATGAACGAGATATATATTCTGAATTTACATCAAGACAATTCACCAAGAGAAGCCATTGTGCAACCTTGGTAATTTTATCCTCAGAGTCAAATTGGCTCGTGGCCCTTGCTTTACCAGTAACGCGACGAAATTGCAACTGCTCTGACTTGTAAGTGCTGCACATCGGTCATTGTGTACTGCGCACCTTATTGCTCTGTGAATTTAAACCAGTTCTATATCCATTCATGACTTCATCTCTTGCTCGCTCGACACCTAGTATCTTCTGATCGAGCATGCTTTTGGAAGAGGCAGCAGATGGCAAAGGTCTTGCTGCAGACCCCGAGCTGGTCTTTTCCTTGAATATGCTGACGAGTCTCTTTTTTCCAGATGTTGTGCCATCTTGCTTTCGAGGTGCATCTCTTGTAGGATCCAGAGCTTCGGGATGCTTGCTAAAGCCATGCTGGCATTCTCGACAGTAGTATGGAGCATCAGGATTAGAGGGTGGGGTGAAGCATTCACAGGTGCAGGCTTGCCCTCCCTGACGAAAGTCTCGGCAGTATACTTCACGGCGATCAGACATAGCAGTGTATGGAATGAAGTAAAGATGGTTCGGGAGAACAAATCAGTACGGCTCATAGATTTTTTATTTCGCATAAGCATTGGTTATTGACTCGCAAGTCTCATCAATTTCTAAGCTTATTCATTCAATATAATGATGTAACTACAAGTATCCTTCTGTTTCAAACAAAGATAATGCTGATAACCCTTGACACCAAAGTGTTGCACGAGCTTCCCAGATAGGATCACTTAACGAGATGGTAATTGATTTTGTTCCGTGCCTTCCGAATTGTAAGACTTCGGTCATGGCTGCATCATCACCTTGCTCATCCGGGAGCAAGCCATAACCTTCCGGTACAATGCCCTCAGTAACTATTTGCTCGACTGTTGAAAAAAACAAGTTTTCATCACGCTGAGTCTCGAAGGGGCTTTTCTTTCCGGGAACTTCAACAGCGGCATGTCGAATATTCCGTTCCTGGTCTTCTTCTATCTGTAAGATGAGCTGATCCTCCGAATTAGTGTCTTCATCATCAGGATGGCCAGCACCAGTCTGCCCATGACGACGAGTCTGCTCTCGCCCGTGAGTGCCGTAGTATTGTTCAATTGTGTCTGGATGAACTTCGTCACAATTGTCTCGGTAAATACCAAGTGTTGCCTGGCTTATCAGTCGCAAATCCTGTGATAAATATGGTGTCAGTTACTTTATGTTCAAATTTTTGATGTGAAATCTCACTTGTGGACTCTTATTGTTTGTTGATGGGCCAGCAATTGGATGGAGGTTCCATTCTTCACGAAAGGTCTTACAGTCGTCATTGATAGCATCCAAGAATAGATTTTGGAGAAGCCACAAATGACCTGTTTGCTCAATATCGAGCCTGTGCAGTCTTTCTAAACGGCTAAAGAAAGCCCTCCAACGTCTCACGAATTGTGTTCCTACTTCAACCCAGAGGCGTTCAATCCTCGAATTCCGAGTTGACCTGTGGTACTTGTGTGAGAAGAACACCCAAAGGATCAAATGATGATACTAGGCTTACGATCCCCACATAAACGAGCCACGATTTGGGCCGTTTCGCATGACCATATAAGTGGCAACATCAATATTTTCACCACCACGGTCACCTCGCATACGTGATGGCATACCATACTCTTCTTGTGCTTTGAGAAATAAATCGAGAACTGTTGTAGCACGATTATTTGTGCTCGTTTCTAGTGCAACCACCTGGACACGCCATAATTAATTTCTAATGACTTCGACTCGGACTTGTGACATACCGTTCTGCAGTAACCATCAATAAATCCATGGACAACAAATCCCCACCGAATCATCTTATGGTGCCCATCCAAATGCCAAAGAGCATTGGAACGTTTAACTTTATATGTCCTTCTTCGAATAATTTGCTGGCGTCTGAATTGGCGTCCAATTCTGTCCACTCGTTGTAGGGATTGCCATATTCGCCTATGTTGTACACGGACACCTTGTTGTCGAAGAAAACCAACAAGGTACCGAAACCCAGACTCTGGTCTATGACATTTGAATATCTTCACCAAAGCATCAAGGTCACGGTCATGAAGGTTGGAATAGCACCTTTCAATGCCGTGTTGACGCATGTAGCGCCGTAATGTTGCTGGATGAACATCGACAATCTTTGCTAGCTCAACATGTCTGATGTGATGTTGAGCAGAGGTGGCCTCGATCAAGAAATCAAGGTCTATTATTTTTTTGGGCCGCCCTCGTTTTCCCATGTTCTTGATTCCAGTTAATTCTGGTATACTGTAGAGATACGACACTAGGTTCGTCACAGGTCACAGCCCTTAACGAATTGAATCTATTTGGTGTGACTGTCACATGAATTTTTGGTGGGACGAAGCTAATTTGTGACATATGGGAAAAAAAACATAGGTTATGCGCTAATGGGACCAGAAATCATCATACATCGAATTTGCGATGCGTCTACGCTTTCCACGCCCGTAATCAACCTTCGGAACACTATTCGAGCCACTCTCCACATCTTTGGCAGTAATGTCACCCACATCATAGACTTCGGAGTGGTTTGAACACAGAAGTCCGCCATCTGCATCGATACGGCAGTCAGAACGGACGTGTTCACCCCCGGAAGCCATATGATCAAGGAGTGCATCCATTGGCACGTCACTGGCATCGAGGTCATGCTCGCTAGCATCGTCGAAGGGGGATTCGGCTCCGGTAGTATCAGTGGCCTCGTTCTCTGACTCGGAGTTTGTTGCCTGGTCAACGCTGACAGTCTTGTACTGAGCAGTAGCAATCCTCGTCCATCCAGCTGGATCATTCTTCTGAACATCACGTAAATATTGCAACGCCTCTCGACTTGCGAGGCTCGCGAATGAGAGATTGAAATTCTCCCCGGCCTTACACTGGCAGGCTTTAAGACCACAGAGTCTCCAATTCCACTCGTTACCAGTCAGCGCTATGCGAGGCGAATCCATGACAGACTGAAGCAAGTTGCTTGAATCACGAAGCAGCATGTCAGATGGTTGCAAACGGCGTTGCGAGCGGCGAAGCACTACGATCCGCAGGCGAATCTATTTGGGTAAGGTCACAGGTCACCTGGACATTCGAACCTGTAAGACTAAGTGTGACATCGTCACGGGCTGCACGTGACGAACCTAGTGTCGTATCTCTACAGTATCAACATGATGCTCCTCTCTGTAAGATCCCTGTCTCAGTATCCACATATCTATCAAAATTTAGGCTTACTCCTCATTTGCAGTAGTCCCTAGGTGTTCCAGACCCGAAACTACACAGCCAAGTACCATGGCTACATCAGCTAACCATTTGACTGGGAGAGACTCTGACATTTCATCCGACTCGGAGTCTGTGTTACTGGCATCTGGTGTGAGTGCTTCGAGGATCGGAAGTGCATTTGACGAGATAGCATCCACATGGAAAGCAATACGGGTAGGGTCGGCTCCCTCTGCTCGAAGAACTCGGATTGCATGATCGTAAGTGTGTTGGATATTCTCATAGGCAGCTCGGATTTCTGCTGACCAATTTCTGGTTTCAGGGAGAAGCGGGAGTGACAATGGCATTGAAGGACTGTTTATGTCCATTGTTTCCGAGAGTCCGAGTCAGTGTAGGTTGGAAGGGTAATAAAAATTGTCACCAAGAGTTCCGCGGGCATATGTAATTCGCAGGTGACGTGGTCAAGGCATTGTTTTCCAGTGTGTCCGGTTTTATTACTAACAACCACTCAAGTCATCTCTTTCAAGCTGTTCTTCATACTAGTCAACCTTGCAACTATCAGTGGTTCAATGACGGCTCGACACCATCAAATGTTCTACTTCTTAGATGGCACTCACATCTTCCAGGTTCGTGCACCATGACCACTTATCTGAATAGTCTCATAGTGGATACCGCGGACTGACAGTGTACCACTATTAGGCAGGAAACTCACTCTTTAGGGTGCATGCAAGCATTCTCGGGGATAAATCACTTGCTTTCCGAGACATGTTTGCTGCAAGCCAAGGCACCCAACTTGAACAGGTTGATGGTAGTACTGATGACAAGCCTATTTGTGTGCCGTCGCAAGTAAGCGAAAGTGCGTTCGAATTATTTTTGTCTGTCTGTTACAACAAGTGAGTTTATTTTGACAATGGACGACTCGGACAAGTCTAACAATTGATACCATATAGATGGAGGCCTGATGTCCTCAAAATATGTAACAAAGCTGTCATTCAACTGCTCGAGCTAAGCGACATGTATCTTTGCAAAGATGCGCGAGTCTATGCTGTTCACCATCTCCAGCGGCAGCGTTACTCGCTTGAGCCAACACAACTTATCTCACTCGCATTGAAGTACAATGTCAAAGAAATCCTGCCGCATGCTTTCGAACGACTCGTTTCAGCTCGCATCAATGATATCTCCGACGACGAATTTCGCGCTGTTGGGTCCGTTGTGTGGAACACAATGTTCAAAGTCAAGGAACGACTTGATGTACACCGCCGGATCATTGCATGTGAAGCCCCACCTATGGTGCACGCGGGAACTTGCACGAAGCAAAAGTTATGCGAGGACGACTGGAAGCAGCTGTGGTGGAACGGAATGGGTAGATTTTTACTGGACGGACGAAATCCCCAGCCTTACAAGGATGCCGTCGAACGCTTCGAGAAACTCGACATCGGAGAAATCAATCTAGACTGCTGGAAGGCTGTGCTATATATTGTGAAAGCTCGCAGTGCTTTTGATCATGAGCGAAAACTTATCACTCGTACAGCTGATGATCTTGTGAAGTACCTAATTGTCGAGCCTAACTTTGAAGATTTCGGCCGTCTAGTTCACTAGAATAGCTGGTGTATTGAGCACTTGATGTTGTGTATCGCGCGCTCAATGTTGTGTATCGCGCACTGGATGTTGTGTATCGCGCACTGGGTGTTGTGTATCGCGCACTGGATGTTGTATCGCGCAATTTATTAAAGTACGCTTTGGAGCGTCATAGGACCCAGTCCATTGGAATGAAAGGCGGTCATCGCATGCGAACGAAAAGAACGCGGCACCATAATAATCTATGCTTGAAAGAACTTCAAAGTCATCAACAAAAGTCAGCATACATTGAACCTCCCCAAGACTGCTATTCGGAACACTCTAACACTGCTGGATTACTTGTAAACAAACGTCAGTGGCGTTGACACTTTCTATGAATAATCACATATATATATTGTGGGACCTAGAAGACCTGAATCGGTTCATGAACGTTCATGCATGCATCGCCCGCAGGCTATGCCATGCCATACTACACGATGTGAGCATACCCACTTGCCTATCACTGGCAATCGGACCCCTCGACCTACCATTCCGGTGAGGAGCTTAACGTATTGTTATTATATCATAGCTTGAGGGATGATTAATATTCCCGTCGGCCGAGTCGCAGATCCCTCGTTGCTGTCACTATCTGACCAGTCTTTATCGTAGATGACGACCCCCATATGGCGCGCGATTTGCGATCCGAACGGCGGGTTCTCAGTAGAACTTCTCAGACTCGGAGACCAACCAACGGCAACATGCTGTGTAGTACTGACCAGTGATATATTATAAGTAGTGACCGAATCATTCAAGTTGGCGTAAATCAGTATGAATACTTTTCAAGAGACTCCGAGTCTTTCGCTACCCAGAGATATCGATGGGAATTTACTGCACGAATCAAATTGCCGATGCGAACTCACTCAATCCTGTATGTCACCTACGATTGGCGGCGAAACTGGAGAAAAATGCCACAGAAGATCGGTGCAACGTTTTGAAGGGAGAAAGAGTAGCAGCTTTGAAATGCAGATACCATCAATGAGCGCTGAGCGGTCAAATTGAGACAATCCCTGTTAAGCTTGACAAGAGACGTGCATGGCGGTGGGAAGATTGAGACTCTGGAAACAAAGAAATACACAGACGAGCCACGGCCCATGACGGGGGAAACCAGCGGCTACTCTCGGACTAACGTGATGCAGACTCTGGAAGCGATTGGTTCATCATCACGGATGAGTATACTTTTAATCACAGCAGAGAGCAAGGATCACGGCATGCAAGTCAGGGTCTCTTGATCCATCGTGACATTCCGGTCCACATGGTGGACATTACTTATGTCGAGTATCTAACGAGTTTTTATGGAGAATGACATCATATCCAAGAACTACAAGTCCTCCTCTCGAAAGAACTCTCGGATGACTCGTCCAAAGATAGTGACCGCTTTCTTGAGGTCGGCGAACTTTGAGGACCAGGTCGTTAGCAAAAGCTCTTCTATGCATTGGAATTAGAACTCGTACATCAACATTGCTGAAGCTGACACGGAAGTGGCCGGAGCCAGTGCTATCGGAGTCTTTGATCATTGCGTTGGCTGCGAACTTCCAACCTGGCATAAACAACACTCCGTTCTCTGCTAACTCGGTCCAAAATTTTGTGTCCAAGGTATCTTCATCTCCTGGTGCGAATGAGGGATATTGGTCGAGGTGAAGTTTCATCTATTCCAAGCTTAGAATGGACGCCATGCACAAGCAAACAGTTTGAGTGGCGACCTACCCATAAGAACATACCTGCGATTGGGGGAACGAAGCTAAACATCGTACGATCCCGGGCTGGGTGTTTCTCGGTCATATCGGTGGTCCTCTTGACTTTGGATGATGCCTGGTACACGGTGCAGCCTTCCCAGACACCTGCAACTGCAGGAGCCGCATGTAAATGAAACTCCTCTGCAAGGCAATCAATAAAGAAATCACGGCGTTGCTGATATTCTGTCCGCAAACCTGATGGGCATTGCGTCATTGGTGATTCGAATAGGTGGACGCAATTACGCACCCCTAAGCCAGCATATGTAACCATCATAGGTCCAATGCGTCAATATCTTTTTTATAACGGCCTGTAAAATCAAACTCAAAATACAATTATTGGACGAGGTGCCGCCACACATACCTGTCCAAAGCCACACGGGGAGTAAGCTGATGTTTCTCCTTGCCTTTCCAACCTCTCCGCAAAGACAGGATTGCATGTGAACCATCCTAGTCGACTACCAGGAGCAATGATCTGCCAAATGGACGTTCAACCTGATGGGAGTATAGAGATGTAGATTCCAGGCCTTACTTTGGAAAAGGTATCGAGACGGATCACGCGGCCTTCGTAGTCAAAACTAAACTGAACTGTCAGACGGAATAATGTAAAAAATGAAGGCTCATACTTTAAAAAGCTAGGGATCAGAGTAGAGACATATCGTTTAGATTCTTCGGCTGACAGTTTTCCGGAAGATGTTGCACCAGGAGACCTGTCGTCTTTAAATGTGTACGTTCCTAGTTGAAGAAAATAATATGGATCGTCTTCGACAATTATCACATCTAAGCGCCCAGTTCATTAGCTAGCAAATTTAGCTGTTTCTCTGTAAAAGTGTGCTGACCGTATTTGACACAAACATCATAAATCTGCTTCTTGCGAGCAACGCTCATCGTCTGCATGCATCAATCTTGAGAACGCATTCCTAGGCTGAGCTGCAAAAAAAGTATGCTTACCGAACCACTCGGGTTTTGTCCGACAGGCACAACGTACATAACACGAGGCCTAGTGGAGGATCAGATACGGACGGAATTCTGCATTTATAAAACATCTTACCTTGGCATTTGACGTGAAACTGGATCCCATCGCGACAGCAAATTCTCGAGGTCATCGCTCTTCATGCCTAATCCATCCATGGGCACAGGCACAGGCTTGATATTGAAAGGGATAATTGATGCCATGGCGGGGGGGTAGGTCCACTCTTCACACAGTATGCCCTCGCCGGGGTTGCACAGCGTCATAACGGCTCTTGACCACCTAGATGATCATCGTCACAACAAATAGTGTTCTAACGTAACTGAACTGGCGCACCCATCCGTACTACCAGTGTTGATAAGGATGGTCCAGTCTCTAAAAGCTGGACAATAGACCTCAGAGATAAACTGTTTCAAGAAAGGTTGCAACTGTGCCTGTGCCACTGCTTGGCCGTACTGGAGCAACATTGCTAAATTAATATCCCCTTTAACGGCAGGGTACTTGGGAATGGTGACAGCCTGAGTCTTCTCCTTGGTTGCATGGTGGCTACTGGATAAAAAGGTCGACAGCTCGGTCGGAGAGAGACCAAATGATTCTGGTACCAAAATGTTTGCAGAAATGTCAGAGATGGGGAAATACGCAGGACTAGGCCAACCTGCCAAGTTAAATTGGATATATTCAAATTAAAAGGCGAAAAGTGCAAACCTCCCGCGAGGGACAGAATTCCTGGCTGTGACTTGTATTTCTCCAGCCCCCCATTCAGCGGAGATATGACCATAGCCTTGGATAGCTGGGAAAGATGGTGAGAGAGATCAATAGACTGTGCGCACTTCTCGACACTCATGATGAGAGGACAAGAGTGATCACCAGACTTGGTAGTAGTCTAGTACGACTTGAATTTAAGCACTTGTCTGCCGAACAGGGTTGGTAACTCGGTATATACACGTGTATGAACTTAGCCAATCCTTTAATAAAGTACTTGTCGTCTTGTTACTATTGAGTCCACATACCATTCATTTCATAGCCAGTGAACCGTGAACCGAGGAAGAGTGTATTACCCATCCAGCTTGTGCCACAAACTGCGGATGCGTACATATCCTGGTGGACAGAGTCCGCAGGAGCACTAGCTCGATTGAGAGCTCATATCGTTCCAGCTTCGACTGGCTTGAGGAGTGTAATGAACGACGAACTCGATGTCGTGGCAGAGAGGAAAAGCGAATAGAGGAAGCGAATAGAAGAAGCGAATGGCGCAACCACTCAGCTGGACACACGGTGCCAGGATATTCCGGCAGGCTGCATTACCCGACACCTGGACAATATTGATATTAATCCACCAAGAGGTAGACCAGGCACAATCATCATCGGTGACAAGTACTAGAGATGGCATGGGGTTATTGAATACAATTACCTGAAGTTCTCGGATTTCAAAAGCGGTCACCTTGAATTCCGACTAAAGTACAAATACAAATGAACAGGTTGGTTGCATGAAAGACTGGATTGGACTTGTTAAAGCTGTATCTTTGGCTCTCTGTACAGCTTGAGTGCGAGGGAGGAACAAACCACAGATACAGAGCTAGGATAGCACATGAGTATAGATCATGCCTAGTCAGGAAGTACATACGATAATGCCATAGCCAATGACGCCCAGACGGGAGCTAAACGCGCGTGTCCGACGGGGTATATGACGCCGGCAGCGATGGGGACTGCGATCAAATTATACATAAATGCCCACATCTACAAAATATATCAATGGCGACAGATGATGCAAAGAGAGGGATGAAACGTACAAAGTTGATTTTGACGCGGTTAAACACTTTTCTCGACAGGTCACTCAGTGTGAGCAAAGTTTTGAGGTTAGAATACAAGAGAATGAATGAAGCACTAGATAATGCAATGTCGCCTGTCATCGAACTTGGTTGGTATGCGCTCTATTAGCGGTTGGACGAATATTAGAGCTTACTTCCACATCCGATAGCTATTCCTATGTCGCTGACAGCCAGTGCCTAACGTCACAGTCAATACAAAACAGAAAACGAAGACGTGCATAGAGAGCTCACAGGTGCATCATTGATACCATCCCCAACCATTGCGACGACACAGCGCTCGTTCGACGTTGACCTGCCTAACATACGTCGCCATCTTGAAGAAGGGCGTTTGGCACCATTACGCTGCAGCCACTCGATGTTTTCCGCCTGTGAGATAAATCAGATCATACAATACGGAAAAGAATGAGGATAACGACAGACCTTTTGCTGAGGTAAAACTCCAGCGATGACGTTTATTTCAGGAATGCCCACAGATTTTGCAACTGCTTTTGCCGTCGTCTCGTTGTCCCCTGACAGCATCCATGTCCCAATGCCCTGCTCCTGCAAATGACGTATAACACCAGTAGCTTCCCTCCTGATGGGATCCGACACAGCGAATATAGCTGCAACGACGAATTCATTGTCAAAGTCTGCGACCGTAACAGCGAGGAGGACGATACTCTTCGCCTCAGATTTCCACCTATCGAGCACTTGGAGAACGTCTGGAGAGAGCAGGACATCGTGGTCTTGCATCAGGGCTTCATTTCCTACTATCGCCTTGCGCCGCATTTCTTCGAAATCCGCTTTGACGCCTTTACCAGCAATTTCATCGAACGCGTGGCCAACAACAGACACGGCACCATGGTCCCCCGCATACTGCCTAATTGCATTCGCGAGCGGGTGAGATGATGCAGATTCTAACTCCGCGGCAATTCCGAGAAGCGTCTTCTCAGGCACCGACGAAAGCAGGATCTCGGCATCAGACACTCGGGGCTCGCCACCTTCGGTGAGTGTTCCGGTCTTATCGAACACAACGACATCAAGTTGCGCCATGTCTTGGAAAGCCTCGCCACCTCCGCGGGCCAAGATTCCATGTTTGGCTGCAAGGCCGGATCCCACAAGAAGAGCGGTAGGTGCTGCCAGGCCAATGCCGCAAGGACACGCCACGACGAATACTGCGATTGCAAACTCGAGAGACCAGACGACTACAGAGCTGATGTCAGTAAAAATTTTAGTGAATCACCCAGAAGAAACTCACACCATCCGCCTTGACTTGTATCTAAGTAACTCCTAGGGATAGCACCGCTAACACCCAAGGTAAGCCATATCAACCAAGTAACGATCGCCAGTAAAGTGATGATTGGGACAAAAACGCCTGTTATATGGTCTGCGATGCACTCAATGGGTGCCCTACGAGTTTGACCCTCACGGACAATCTGCACAATCTGGTCCAGCCTGTAGAACTTGGTCAGGCAAATAATATCTTTAGAATCGAAGTTGGGTGACTAACAATGTGACACCTTCAACAGCGTCAACTCGAACATCTACAGCCCTGGACTTATTGATTGTTCCAAGAAGAACCTTATCCCCGATTTTCTTCTTAATAAGTTGAGCCTCGCCCGTTAAAAAGCTTTCGTCAAAGGATGTTTCCGGACCAGAGACGATTGTACCGTCTGATGGTGGCGTCGCACCATTTTGCACACGTACTATATCGCCAATCTCCAAGAGGTCTACAAGTACCTTCTCAAATTTGAACCCGGGAGACGCAACAAGGCTATCGTTATCACACGCTACGTCGCATTTTTCGGGATCATTGCGGGGAACGACTGTGGGAGCAGTAGAAGCAGAAGCAGAGCAAGGAGACAAGACAAGAGCTCCGGCAGGGCGAAATGACCCGAGTGCAGTAATAGCGTCTGCAGTCCTCGTTTTACTGTATGCCTCTAGGTAGCGGCCTAATGATTACGGTAGATAAGGAAGCAAGATAGATGACGCGCGGGTTCTACTCACCAGCAAGTAAGAACATAGTCAGGAACACGACAGAGTCGAAATATGTCGTTTCTTGCCCCGTACCATCACCTGAAGGTGGCTGTGTCGCTGCAAGACCTAGAACCACAATCGATGAAAAATAGGCAACAGTTACTCCAGTAGAAACCTGTTCATCATGTCATCATCACATAAAAATACGGGCAACATGGTACATACCAGAAGGTTCATACTGCCAAATCTAGTGAAGCGCTTGATTATGGGGGTCGTGCTCCCTTTCCTCCACGAAGCTTTGATTTCCTTGATACTCCGATAATGAAATGTGCCAGCGCCATAGAAGTATACTGGGGTTGCGAGGAAGAAGAGTGCCCACTCGATTGCAGATGCGTTTCCATTCCACATGGGCTGCATTAGGTATAGCTTCGTGGGATTATCAGCGGGAAGAAGGCTCATGTAAACGACACCAATGATGAACGTAGGTATCGTAATGATGAAGGTGAAAAACAGGCGCTGCAGCAAGACTCGTTGCTCACGTCGTTGCATGCGATGCGTGCATTCTTCGAGAGTAGGTGCACGATGGATCGATACACTGTATGACGTCGGTTCCACGGACACAATAGTGGAGGTGATGGAGCGGATGGTGAAGTCTGGAGGCGATGGCATATACGAGACTTCTATGACGGAATCCAAATGATTTGCTAGTGGTTTGATAATGGTGATGTCGGGCTGGAGCTTTTTTAAGGCGGTCATGATTTTGATTGGACAGTGTCTGGCTTGCGGATATCAGAAACCCCGCATGCGACCACAATAAGATTAACGCACTGGCAGTACATTCCGTCGATACGAAGGGATAATATCCTAGGACCTGTTTTTGTCGAATTATCTGTTGATGTCAATGGGATGAGGGGCTCAATCTTGATGACATCGACTTCGAAGCCACAGTCGTCGATCGTTTTGGTCACGGAGCCAACTAGATCCTTTCGAGCAACAATAACTGTGGCAGAATTGTTCAGAAGGCTGACAACTACTTCGGAGATGCCAGGGAGTTGTGAAACTATTTCGGTGATGGTGCCCGAACATGAGGAGCACGTCATACCACCCACGGACAGGGTGATGAGATGCGCGACGTCATCAACGCCTACCTTGCGCAACGAGCTTAGGCTCCGTTCTGGGTCCTCTGGCGTGGAGCAATTCATCGGAGAAACGGTGCCATTGAATGAGATGACGGCCGCCTCCTGACACAATAAACAGTGTTGCATATGCTTTTGACGTTTTCCAGAAAGTATGGTGCTCATCCCCTGTGTTGCTTGTGAAAGTGTATGCTCGGAGGAAGTGGAATCTGGATCATATACATCAAAACCAGCATCCTCAAGCATGAAATGTATGGTGTGTCTGGATGTCGCGAGGGCATGCTCGACTGTCACTGACTGGTGTACGATGGATACGTCTACCCTTGTTGGAGGGGGAGAAAGAGAGAAGAGCACTTTATTGATTATGCTTTCACAGCTGAGACAAGATCAACATCAGCAGGATAAAAAGCAGGCCATTGTATATACCTGTTGCAGTGAAGATTGGATACAGAGATTGTGGTGATTTGGGTTTCGGACGGTGTGCTCATCGGATAATACTGGATTTTTCGACTTGGGTGCGATTAGATGAAGGGTAGGGAACAGGATACGCCAAATTGGTCGTAGGAACCGCGAGCACATTATATAGCGGAAGTATCATGATAGCAAGATAATTTTGGCAGTCGATTCCTGTCACCATACCATCCTGTTGAGTGACAGATGCATCATGCATACGCCACCCCACTATCCACAAAATGCCTCATAGTCCGCACAATTGCCTCATGTGGTTACGTCAGCGGGCGTGGCACACATTTATATTTGGAGTTAGATCAGCTGAGAGCCTGAGCTCAACCCTCAGCGCTTGAAAAACTGAATAGGATCCGGCCAACGGACAGGACTGCTTGATGCTTCAAAAGGATGGATATTAGTGTAGGATAAATAGTAGCAATGGCCTCGTGGGGACTGTAGGGACCCCGAGAACACTCACTTCTCGGTGTCGCCTCTTCTGGTCTGGTCTGATAAGCAAGTTTATTTCGGCCTCTTTATGAAAAATGCCTTGTTTTGATTTTCAGAAAAAACTCTATTCGGAATTTCCAAATTTAAAATTTCCCAAGGTTTGGATCTAGATCAACACCTTCGCCTGGCTCGAGGTCACTGACCTGATCTTTGAGGTTGAGCTAGACCGAGCGTTAGCTTGGGATGGGACGCAATTAGGTAGAGCCGCCTGGGAGAGCAGGATACCTATGTACGAATTCGATCGACTCTTCGAGTAGCTTCCAAACAAAAGTATGTAGTACATGTACAACAAGGATGCTCGATTAACAAGAAACATGAAGTGTGAACTGAGAGAAATTGAGGAAGTGGTGGGTGGGTATGAAGGGAAACTCGTAGGTACGATTGAGGAAGTGTGAGGCTCTGGACGTCGTGGCATAAAAACGAAGGAAGCGAACAGCGCAAGGATCCTGGCCCCTACAGGCTGAGACTGTATGTAACGGAACATTCCGGCAGGCCAATCCTGGCACCTGTACTTATAACTTGGTCGTGTGCTGCTCTCCTCACGCCTGCAGGTACGTTTGCTCAATTTTTTTTCACATTGGACGCCATCGTATCAAAAGTTAAAATTAGTTGACAGGACTACCGTGACGGAGTCTAACTATTGGATTTCGATAGGTTATTGATCTATCATGTTCAGAGACAGGCAATCTCGAATTTCAGCTTTCTTAAATTCTCCAGAACGTCAATCTCCTCGCTCCAGCTCAAATGTTACAAGATCTTCCTCTCGTTCTTCCATTGCTTCCAGCGATGAACGGGCGCTTTTCCATGATATCAATCGCTCCCCTGTCATCCTCGGCATCTGTGCAATGGATATCAAAGCCAGATCAAAGGCTATGAGAGAAATACTCACACGACTCGTAGAGAGAGCCCACGGCACTATTCAAGTCAAAGTTTTCGGTGATAAGGTTATCCTTGACGAGGGTATGTTCTCTCCCTCCCCTCTTTTACCGTTCCTTAATACCACCACTGCCTACTCACGCTCCTGTCAGATGTCGAAAATTGGCCCCGCTGTGATGTACTTATTTCTTTTTTTTCCACCGATTTTCCCCTGGACAAGGCCATATCTTATGTCAAACTGCGTCACCCCTTCTGCATCAACGACCTTGTACCGCAAGCCTTACTATGGGATCGTCGTCTGGTCGGAGCTATTCTTGACCATTTACAGGTCCCGACACCTAAGCGACTAGAAGTTTCTCGCGACGGTGGCCCTCAAGTTGATGCAGAACTCAAAGATGCAATGTTCAAGAAGCTTGGCGTTACATTAGGTGGCTTTAGAGTGACTCCTGAGGTTTCACTTCGCCAAGATGAAAATGCCATCGTCATTGATGGTCAAGTCCTGGAGAAACCCTTCGTAGAAAAACCTGTTAGTGGTGAAGACCACAATGTTTATATTTATTTTCGTGGGGGTGGAGGGCGCCGCCTCTTTAGGAAGGTATACATCGATTCAACGGGCCTTTTACACATTCCTCGACTTATCTCTTCCGCTACTAGGTCGGTAATAAGTCAAGTGACCTTGATCCTTCATTGAATCATCCGCGGACGGACGGATCATATATCTACGAGGAATTCATCGACGTCGATAACTCTGAGGACATCAAGGTCTACACGGTCGGCAAGGATTACTTTCACGCTGAAACTCGAAAGTCTCCTGTGGTTGATGGTGTTGTTCGTCGAAACACAGAAGGCAAGGAGATTCGGTTTGTCACTCAGTAATCTGTAACCCCGTCACTCATGGATGAATTAGGTTTATTACCCATCTGAGTGAGAAGGAGAAGACGTACGCGGCGAAAATATGTCAAGCATTTGGTCAGAACGTTTGCGGCTTCGACATGCTTCGATGTGAAGGAGGCAAGAAAACTCAGATCATCGATGTCAATGGATGGAGCTTTGTCAAGGGAAATGAGGGTTATTACGGTAAGCGACGATGAGATATCATATCTAGTCGGCTTCATGTCTGATTATCACTACTTAGACAAGGCTGCTGAGATCTTGGCTAACCTCTGCATTCACGTGTCATCCTCGCCAGAACGTCCGGTACCCTCAGCAGACACTACAACCAGGGGGCAGCCACCAACATGGATCCTCAAGGCGAACGTAACAGTCTTCCGACATGCTGACCGCACGCCCAAACAGAAGTTGAAATTCAATTTTCCTATCGGTGACGTATGGACACAGCCTTTCGTTCGACTACTCAATGGAGAGAAAGAGGAGATAATCCTTCGTGAGACATCTCAACTGAACCTCATCGCCCAAGCAGTCGAGGAGGCAAAAGCTCTGGGTGCGGGTGGCGATGACCTGGCGAAACTCACGCAGCTCAATACTGCGCTCTTCAATAAGATCAATCTTCCTGGGACTAAAGCGCAGCTAAAGCCAGTGTATTCGAAGAGACAGGCTGGACAGGCAAGGAGATTAACAAAGCTGACACTGGTCTTCAAGTGGGGCGGTGAAGTGCGTTGACTGTTGTACCATTCATGTTGATGCGAATTTCTCGGCACAGTTCACGCATTCAGCAAGATACCAATCCCGCGACCTGGGAGAGAATATGAAAAAGGATCTGACCATTATGAGTAAGTACATCAAGATAAGGAGAATGGTATGACTGACCTTCGTGTTTAGATAAAGAGGCTCTTCAGAATGTCAAGGTTCGTTTGAGATTTGCCTATAGAGACAGTGGCATTCTAAATTTACAATCCAGATCTATACCTCATCCGAGCGCCGCGTGATTGCATCCGCCGAGATTTTTGCTGCAGCACTCGTCGACAACGCCTCTTCGAGTTTTTCCGCTTCTTCGTCAACTCCTAGCAGCTCCCTTTCCTCGCGCTCCTCCCAAGATGGCAGATTAAGCTCACAAGAGACAGCACCTCCGGAATTGATCATTCGTAAAGACCTTCTCGACGACTCCAATGCAGCCAAAGACTTGATGGACGACGTGAAGAAACGCCTAAAGATATTGCTGAGACCCGGTGAACCTGAGAAGCGTCCTGAGCTCACATGGCCAAAGAGCATGAAAAAGGAACCAGTCGAAGTTGTCAAGGTCCGTCAGCGCATTGCATATCCATAGGTGAGTCAAATGCTCATGCTACATCATCACAGGAGGTTATCGAACTTTTGAGCTCCTTCCGGGCAATTATGCACAAGAATTTCGAGACTATGGATGTAGACACGATTCAGGAACGATGGTATGAAAATTCATCGACCTTTGGAAAGTGTCAGGTTTACGAATATCTGTAGGTGTTGCGATGATGAACCTTGGTTGTTCAGAGAACGCTGGGACAAACTGTTTGAGGATTTCTGCGACGTCGAACAAAAGAAGTTTGACCCCTCTCGTGTAAGTACCTTGTCATGTGCACTCACCTGGTGACTGATCCGTGTTGATCTTGCAGGTCTCTGAGCTTTACGACACCATCAAGTATTGTGCACTGCACCACCGAACGTTCCTGTTCTCCATCTTCGACCAAAACGCTGGCCACGGCCAGGATCCGAGCCAGACTCAAGACCGCAAGTTGCATGAACTCTACGGGCGTGCTAAAGCCCTGTTTGATCTAGTGGCGCCTCAGGAATACGGCATTGAGGCTGATGAAAAGTGTGACTTGATAAACCATGACTCGTTTGTATGAAGTTGAACTTTGTACAGGGAGCAGATTGGCGTTCTGACTTCATTACCACTACTTCGGAAAGTCGTAGAAGACCTCGAGGCTGCGCGAAACAATGGCGCCAGTTCCTTGACCCTTTATTTCACCAAAGAAAGCCATATTCATACGCTTGTCAATCTCGTGCTGCATTCCGGCCTACCAATTGCGAATAGGCGGATACCCGAGTTAGACTATTGTGTAAGTTCGCTTCATATCTGAGCATGGAAGTATACTGATAAAGGACTCTTTGTAGTCCCATATCACGTAGGTCAATTCTTTGGATCCATTTGTCGACCAACTTCCCTGACCGCCGTTTGCCGACTTACTTCCCCCTAGGTTTGAACTCTACGAACGCAATTTTGGACGCGGGAATTCTGATAAGGAATATTCGATTAAACTGTCCCTTAGTGAAGGTGCTCACTCGTCGAACGTCCTGGACTCCACCTTGGATGCACGTCATTCTTTAAATGTACAGCCTCGAAGGTGGCAAATTTCAATGATCATTAAATTCGCCCCATGGAGCTAATGACTCTTTGCAGAAAATTGACGCAACACCTGCCATATAGTCTCGTGATCGAGAAACTTTCTAAGCATTTCGGTAAAATGACCGAGGTACGTTTCAATTAGTGTACTGGAACGCATCTCACATGCAAGTGACACTAGCAGGACGATGACACGGGAACCGATACTCCATTTGTAGCAAATAAATTCCGGGGACATTTCCCTAGTATCAACGATACTAATAGCAGCAGCGACGATAGATGAATACCCCGTTGTCACTTCGAGTTATAGACTCCGGGGTGGCGTCCGAATCATGATAAACACAACTATCGCGAATAATCGCGCCTTAATATATTATTAGA